ATATCATAACAACTACTCTTTGATTTTTTTTTCCAGATTTATATGAATTCTGCATAATACATAAAAAAATAAGAAAACAAAATAAACAAATCAAAATCTATATGAAATCAGTAAATCAAAACATACATCTTTATCTAATTTTTCAAATTATTTCTCAAGATGTATACAAACAGAACATATATCTTGACATAAAGGGGCAGTTTCCTTTATGTTAAAAACATATATGGAGAAATCGAACCAGAAATAGATGAGTGAAGTAGGATGCATCTGAACAAAGAAATAAGAACTGAAAGTAGAATGGTATTAAAGTATTTTCAGAAAAAGGTTAGAATTATTGGTTTATGAAGATATGAAGATGAACTAACCGGATTTCTTATGATGTATCTTCTGTAGAAAACGTAATGTTGAAGAAGAAAGCACAATGAAAGTCGACAATTGGAATTGGAACGAAAGTTGAAGACTTATTATTGGAGTATTCGATATGTATCTATTAAAATTTGAATTGAAAATGTTGATTTTTTAGGATTCTTTCAAATCTTTAAAATGATTCAAAAAATAATTAGGATATGTAACCAAAGATTTACAGCGTCAATTGATTTTGTTTCCAAAAAAAACATGGAATTTGAATTTGAAACTTTGAACCATTCAATAATGGGTAAATAGCACAAAAGACACTACGTTTACACGAAAATTCTAATTTGACACTGTGTTATTTTTTGTCTCAAATTTGACGCTGTGTTTTCTAATTTGTTACAATTCTGACCACTTGACCGTTCAACCCGGTTACTTGCTGACGTAGCATGATGACGTGTCAGTTTTGATGATGTGGGATGCTGACATGACATGTTGACGTGTCAAAATTGAATTTATTTTTCACAAAAGACACTAAGTTTTCATTTTTTTTTATCGATTTTGACATTAAGTTTTTTTTTTTAATTTTGACACTCTATTTTTTTGTTCCAAATCGAAAATCATTTTTTCCAGTTTTTTCAATGCCAATCACTTTTTATTTGAAACCTTATAATTATTTAATCGTAAATAAAATATGTGTAAAATCTACAACAAAAAATAAAATAAATAATATTTCATAAGTAATAATTGATAAAATTTTGTTATTCGCATTCGAAGTTTATGGTTAGTTCGGCTCTCAATATATAACTAAAAATATTTATAAAACATATGCTTTGAATGTAAAAAAAATATGGTTTTTAAATGAAAAAAAAATATATTTATATGTTTTAAAATGTAATAAAAAAATATTTATACGGTTTCAAATGGAAAATGGTTAGCATTGAAAAAATAATGTTCGATTTGGAAAAAAAATAAAGTGTCAAAATTGAAAAAAAAAAACTTAGTGTCAAAATCGAAAAAAATTAAAAACTAAGTGTCTTTTGTGAGAAAAAAAATTCAATTTTGACACGTCAGCATGTCATGTCATCAAAACTGACAAGTCATCATGTCACGTCAACAAGTAATCAGGTTGATCGGTCAAATGGTCAGAATTATAACAAATTAGAAAACACAATGTCAAATTTGAGACAAAAAATAACACGGTGTCAAATTAGAATTTTCGTATAACGTAGTGTCTTTTGTGCTATTTACCCTTCAATAATAACTTCATATAAAATCGGGAATTTCGATAATATCTACTATATAATCTACTATCTAATTGTCGAATAATTATGATTAATTGTTGAATTATTTTATTTAAACCGAAAGTATAGGGCTTTTGTAGAAGATGACACGTGGCAAAGTGGCAATGTAGAAGAGGGACACGTGGCAAAAATGGGTTTTGTTTATAAGAGGAGGTAGGTATATATATATATATATATATATATATATATATATATATAACTCGTAGGAACCACGGTTACAAAATTAATTAAATTTTCGTAGTAAAAACTTAAAATTATTAATCAGTTATTTTAAATAAATTATTTATTAAGAGATATATTTTAGTTTTATAAAACACTACAAGGAAAACGATCATTAGCGGCGACAAAAGTCGCCGGTAATAAGTCAAGTTGTCGTCGGTAATAGTAATAGCGGCGACGCGTCGCCGGTAATAAGTCGCCGCTACTACTTCGTCGCTATTGATAAACTTGACGCCGCTAATGATAGATGTCGCCGCTAATGAACGTGTCGCCGCTAATGATATGTGTCGCCTGTAATGACCATGTCGCCGGTAATAGTGTCGCCGGTAATTACGATTTTCATTTTTTTTAATTTTTTTTTGTAATTAACGATTTTGGTTGCCGGTAATAATGTACTCGGTAATTACATAACAACATTCGATTAAATATCAAAAATAATAGTGTCGATGCTAATTACAAAACAAACATCCGATTATAATTAATTAAATATCAAAAGTCATAATATCCGATTAAATATAAAAAGTAATAATGTCGCTCGGTATTAGTGTTGCCAGCAATTACAAAAAACAACCAAAGATTTACAATCTACCAAGTAGCAAAGCGAGATAACATATGCAAATAAAACT